CCGGGACAGCCTCGCGACTCGGGCAGCCCCTTCTGCTCCGCAGCAGGTCCCGCTTCCAACACGCCCGAGCACGGGAGCCTTTGCTATGAAGGGAATGAGAAGGGGCTGGGCCCTCCCCCAGGCACACGAGGCGTTAATTCTGCTATGGACTTCTCGTACAACACCGGGTTCCGATCCAGGCGGGCCACACTGCACGTGCACCGCGCAGCTCCAGCAGCGGCACCGCTCCACGAGGGATTCAGGAGGCCTTAAACCACACATGGCAGCAGCTTTGTCTGCACAGATTTGCTGCCCTATCTTAGGCTTAAGAAGAGTGTATTTACTGTCACAGATATAGAGACTCTCAAAGAGCTTCAAAATTTTGTTTAACTGGTACATTAAACCAATTCGAGATACCAGTGCTACCTATTTCTAACCTATGTCCACTTTGGAAGCAGGCAAAACCAGGAATTTGGCTTTTTTTTTTTTTTCTCCAGCAAACGTGTCTGTAAAACAAGTAAGATGGACAATAATCTTTCTTCTATTAGCTGGAGAACAGACACTTCTGCTACACAGATAACTACCCACCAGCAACTGGCAAACACCAACTTTAACTAGAAAGCCATTAGAATTCAACATGAAACCAAGTTCTTACCATTATAAAGCTAATTAGAAAACAAGACAGTGAAAACAAGGAGGAAAACCTCAAGAGAACTCTATGTTTTTAAAGTTTCTTTCCCCCGCTCATTTAAATAAACAAAATCACAGTTTATTTTCTTAGAGTTGACAAGATGGCAGCACATGTTTTTAAAATTTCCCCCCCCATTTAAATAAATAAAATCACTATTTCTTTTCTTAGAGTTGACAAGATGGCAGCAAAACCCACATTTCTGAAAAAGCTTGGATTATTTTCTCAAAAAAAAATACAGTTTTTCTAGCCACAGCATGCTCAGTGCAGTTCTGAGAATATCCATATTCCTCTTCATTTTGTTTCCCACGAGGGCCTGTTACAATTAGGCAGTGTTTGACATTGTACAAACAGCTGTGGGTTTAGAAGGTAACAGTAGCAGCTCTGCCTGATGCCACCACCCACAACAGCGCTCATGGCTACTCCATTTGGCTTTCATAGGAGCATTTTTTTTTTTGAACAAACACCGTCGTTTTATTAACATTAAAAAAGAGACACACACACTTCTGGGTACCTTAGCAGGTCGAGTTTCAAACATCCAATTATTCACTTCAACAAGAACCCAGGCATGCCAAACCTCTGTCCCTCCCTGCACACACGTGTCCTAAGCACTGCGTGCAGTCCAGGACAAGTCGCCCGGGTTATTTCCACTTCAGAGCGTGCTGATGTGCCAGGCCCCCCAGACGGCCCTTCCACCCTCCCTGTCACCTGTGACGGAGACCCCCTGGGAGGCCACGTGGATTCCGTGTCCTGACACGGAGAGGGAATCCCCACAGGCACTCAGCCTCCAGGCACCTGCACCAGAAAGGCGTTACCTTCTGAACGTTACAGGGGGTCACATTAGGTCAGAAGGCGCCAATTCTAAATTGCTAGAGCTGATCCACTCACTAATTTTACCCCAAAATGCATGTTAAGAAACAAAACTGTAACCACAGATGTAGGTGACTCCACATGCTTTGCTCACGTCTTCAGATTAACACTGTGCAATCCACATTATCACCCAGTATAGGGTTCAAACTGCTCTTACTTGCTCCCCAGAACCCTTCACCAGCGATTCAGCCAGGCCTGCATCGAGCACAACACCTCTGCAAGGAACACGGCCAGATCAGGCCAGGCAGCAACCTGATTTCAGCTCATTTGAAAAGCCCAAGACTGAAAGACTCCCTTGGCTGGAACTGGTGTCATTTTTAATGCCTGTCACCTGAGCAAGCAAGGTACCTCCTGCTGCCCCCCTCTCCTCACAGCACTGCCAGTTAAGTCCCAGGTGCTATGACAGAGGGGCAGCACCTGCCAGAGCAGCCACAGAGTTCAGCAAATTCAAGATGTTTCACTCTCCCACACCTGCCTCCTGCAGCCACAGGTTGTAACTAGGACGCCCTACAGTCATTAACTAATGCAAAATCATTATGTTATTATACCAGGTGCCACTATTTGGAAAAAAAAAAAAAGGGACCAGATAAGCTTCTGGGCTTCTACTCCAATACCCATTTATTAAAAAGTTTGTCAAATCATCACAACTACGCAAAACCAAAAGAATACTGTGCAAATAAAAGCACAAGCAGTAGTCAATAAAGCATGGTAACCAGGCTGCTGGTTAGGCTCATACACGAGGTGGGACAACTCCAACTCCCCACAATGGCTCCGTGCACCGTGCCTGCCCGGTCTCCCACCAAGGGGCAGCCCCAGAGCATCCTCCCCGACGCCAAGTTCATTGCTGGGGACGTCATGAAGCAACAGACTGGCAAAGCGGAGCTCGGGGCGTGAAGACCCTCTCTAGGTCCTCTTGAAAAGTGTCCACAATCAACCCTGACAACAGCTCAACAAGCTCACGAGTGCAGAGCTCAGCGTTTCACAGCTAATCTCTCAGTGAAGCATGCATTAATTAAAAAGCAAAGCAACGCAACAATTAAAACACTGCTCACCTTTAGTCTGGGGACTATTGGAGTCTTCCATCGAAAGTTTTAGTTGCTGTATGAACTCGCTGCCATACACGCTCCTTTCTTGCCAGATGTTAAGCAATCGTTCCAAGGGCTTTTTGCAGCCCTCATCTGCTTCTCTGTTCAAAGATTTAAGTGGTTATAGCTCAGCTGAAAACATGAGAAACGTGTTAAGAAGGCATCTTCCAAAAGAGAACTTGCACTCATCACAACATCTGCACTTTTGGAGACACTCTCTGGCATAAGCTGCACAAAACACACTTGAAACCAATTTTCCCCTTGAATTAGAACCAAAGATTGCCAGAAAGTGCCCTGCCTTCCCACCCCAAGGAAAGAGACAGGAAATTATTCAAGGAAGAAACTTGGTATCTCTCAGAATCAGGAAAAAAAAAAGTTACAAAACGCCTCCATGTTTTCTATTTCGAGTACTAACCAGAAACAATTGTTTCAGTCAATAATGTCCTAGTTGGAAAGCAGATTGTTTGGATCGTTAGGCACTTAAATGGACACTGAAAGCACAGCATACCACTAAACACACGTAATGCGAAAGTCGTTTAGTGGAAATTATTATTATTATGCTATTTAGAAAAAGTCAAGACTTTCCCTAAACAAGTGGTAGATCACTTTTCACAGCTGCATCACATCCCCCCTCCTCACACATAGAAAAAAATTTCCTTCTGTCAGCAAGGAAGTCAATAACTTTTAAAACAAGTAGTGCAAAAAACTATGCTCAAACCAGAGACAGACAGGAATCCAGTGACCCAAAAGCATCACATGCGTTTTAAAATCTTCCAAAAAGGGGAGAAAAAGTCATTGTTACGTAGCTTTAAAACACGTGTGCAGCTATTCAATGTTAGCAGCTTTGAACAAGGTGCAATTGCCATCTCTGAACAGATCTTCAAGATCTTTTAAGAACAGTTAAAACAAAGTGCTTGGACTTGCATGCAGGGCAGAAGTGTCTTGAATCAGCCCCTCACGACTTGAAACAAGTATCCCCCAAGAGAGAGACCAAAACGAAGCAGTTCCTATCCCCAAAGCAGCCAGTGCCCAGTTCCTGCCAAACACTGGGTACAAACACTCCTGAAGTTCACCCACCACCACCCCCAGCTACAACAAGAGTGCACAAACGCTGGAGAGCAGACTGGAGGTAAAGAGCGATGCAACAACGTACCTGGCAACATGGGAAAACGCATCCACAAGAACAGATTCAAATTCCCTCGTGAATTCGGGTCCTTTCCTCTTACTGTTCTGGATGACATCATTTGCGAGGTACAGGAAGGTCAGCTTCCTGCTCGACTTCGCTACGAGAGGAGAGAGGCACAGTTTGCAATTCGTTCTCACTTCTTTCTCCAGGCGTTATTCACAAGCTCCTAGCGGTTACTCAGCCCTACAGGGAGTTCCAAATACTCCTGCTGCTATCAGAGCAAGAGCCCTTCACGCCAAGCAACTCTTGCCCTCCTTGCTTTGGCTATTTCTTTTCCAATTAGCTTACAAAATAATCGTGATTTTGATCTTTTTTGCGTAGTCACCTCAACTCTGAGGAAAGCTATGCAAAATTTAAGCCTTAAACGTGCCTGAATATAAGAAAAAGTTGTTTCAACCTACCAACAACTTGGTGCAGAATTTGTTTTTCATTAAGTGTGTTAAAGAAAAGGTTGTATTGAATTGCCAAGATAGACAGATCCAGAGAAGAGCGAAACCGCCCAGGGAGCTACCGTGGACACCGGCTTCCCATGTGCTCCCTGCACTGTGGCGTTGTTGAGTGTGCGGCACAGCAGTGGGGACACACAAGGGGACATGGGCTGGGACACCCTGGCCAGGCCGTGCATCATGGTGCCCGGCAGCCACGCGGGGCTGCCCAACGCCACAGTGGGCACGGCCACAGCTCGGCGTGAGCACCAGTGGGGACACCGTGCCGGGGCAGCCACGGGGACACCACAGACCAGGTGTCACTAAGTCAGCCCAGCTCGGCGTGACCACAGAACCGCAGATGGCTGAGGCTGGCAGGGACCTCGAAGGACCATTCAGCACAGCCTCCTGCTCACCAGGGCCACCCAGGGCATGGGGCTGCGTCCAGGCAGGTTTGATGATCTCCAGAGAGGGAGGTTCCACAGCCTCTCCGGGCAGCCTGTTCCAGTGCTTGGAATCATTATGGTTGGAAAGGGCCTTCAAGACCACTGAGTCCCTCCACGGACACGTCCCCAACGCCCTGCCACGCCGCGTCCCAAGCGCCTCATCCCTGCAGCTCTGAAACACTGCCAGGGACGGGGACTGCACCACTGCCCTGGACAGCCTGTTCCCATGTTGGCCACTCTGTCCATATGGAGATTCCTCCTAATGTCCAACCTGAACCTCCCCCGGGGCAGCTCGAGGCTGTTTCCTCTTGTCCAAGGACCAAGGGGGCCCGGTGGACAAGATGTCACTGGTGGTGACACCGAGTTGCTGGGACCAAAGGGGACAGCACAGCCAGGGTGCCACTAGCGGGGCCGCCG